TTGGGGCACAGCTGCTAAATCAAATTTTCAGAAAGTCTCAAAGATCCAAAACCACGCGCTCCGTATTATGACAGGGGCAATGCGCTCCACGCCAATATCAGATATGGAAACAATTACTGGTCTCCATAATCTGGAAGATAGGAGAGACACAAAGCTCCTCACCCAGCTCTCCAAATACAACCACTTTCAAGAACAACCCATGTACAGCCGACTGCAGAAGCTCGCTGTCCTTAAACTCCCTCCCATAATACCAAATGTTCCACTTAAACCTTACAACGACTGCCCCGCTTGGCTTAGGGATAGCCTACCAACAGTCAGAACCACTGTAACAGGGGTCTCCTCCAAATCATCAATGAGCAGCACTGATATGAAATCAACTACAGAAGGAGAGATCAAAAGACTTTATCCACACCAGAGTTGAATTCGAGTGTATACAGATGGCTCAGCCAAGAGAGCAATAAGAGACGGAGGAGGAGGAATATACATAGAATGCCCAAATGGTTTAAAAATCAACCAGGCTGTACCAACAGGTTCATATTCCTCCAATTATAGAGCAGAGGCAGTAGCACTTCTAGCGGCCTGTTCTTTCCTGAATGGACAACAGCACAGCAAATATAGCAGAGTGGTCTATCTGACTGACGCTATGTCAGTTCTACAAGCAATTGTTAACCCAAAAGACACTCAGTTTGTAGACTTGATGCAACAGCTGATTTGCTTAGGCTCTTCTGTAAAACAATCTGTACTGCAGTGGATTCCAGGTCACTGTGGCTTGGAAGGCAATGAAATAGTGGACAGATTGGCCAGAAGCGGCAGTGACATGGTACAACCAAATAGCGACTCAACCCACCAAGAGATGAAAACACTAATACAAGCTAGTATCCAAGAAAGGTGGCTGGATACCCACACCAGATTATCTCCCCAAGACTCACTTCATCGCCTCTCTAGAGAGGGACAGTGTATTATATTCAGACTAAGGACAGGGCACAACAGATTTCGTCAACATATGTTGAAATTTTTCGGTGTAGGAAATACGCAGACGTGTCCCTGCAGCGTGGCACCCGAAAATGCTGAGCATGTCAACTGTATGCTGACAACAGAGACGCAATCTGGCCTGTTCCAACCACAATGAAGACAAAACTGTATGGTACACGAGAGGATATGGATTGCACGATAGCTTTCATAAAGGCAACCGGCCTCCTGATATAAGTTTTCTGACAGAAGGATCGAAGAAGAAGAAGAAGATTTTCACAAACAGAAAGACAATCATTTTGTTTTTCTCAGGGGTGGGGGGCGGGGGGTATTCTTCTTCTTCTTCTCATTTACCGGATGTCAATTCCAATTGAAAATTATGTATGTTTGTCCACTTCTGGAGTCTAGTACTTTTCCAGAACCTGAATGTTTAACTACTTAGTTACTTAGGCCTATAGACAGATTATCCCCATTGCATGCACATCAACAATTCAGTCCGTAAGTACTCATATCTCTTCCTCAGTAAATCCCGCAGCGTGTAACGGCTGACGACACCATTCCTGTGTTGTTTTCTTATTCTTCTTTATAGTGCTTTTGTCTAGCCACGCCCATTTTAACATGCTGTTCTGTCCAGGGCCGTGGGTAGTGATACAGCCGACAGCCACGTTCTGGCAATCTGGTCATGGCTGCAAATGCACAATGGTCACCTGTTTCTCGCAGACGTGTAACTTCTCGTAGAGCATTCAGTATTTCAGCATGGCCCATGGCACGTCCGCCCGCCATGGTAGCTTTATCTCCAAGCCTATCAGCTTGCTCGTTTCCTTGTATGTCAGTGTGCATTGGCACGAATTTGAAACTGATGTGCATCGCTCCGACCGGCTCATATACTCAAACCGCTGTCTTCGGACCCAGTCAATTTCTACCTTTCCTGCAACTCATTGAGTCACAGAGAAAATACGAACGGATAAAGGTTTGCGTCTCCAGCCATGCTATTGCTTTGGTCACGAGATTAGACAAACTAGAGCTTTCAACAGCTGATAAGGAAAAATAACACGACATATCTCTTTACCCATAAGGGTAGTGGAGGTGTATTGATAGAAGCACTAGCACATCCTATCATCTTTCTTTGTCTTTCGCTTGATGAATAAGTGTATAGCAACTTAGTCCTGTGCATTTCTTGATGATGTCATTTCAGGTTCTTCTTTGCCCTCCTCTTCTTCTTTGACTACCCCCCCCCCCCCCCCCACACCTCCCCCCTCTTTTGTTTTGTTTCTTGAAGCATAGTTTTCGCTATCGAATCATGTCTCACCACGTCATCAAACCAAACTAGCTTGCGACGTTTTACCGCTGCCAAGATAGGCTCCTGTTGTCCGTCAAATACGTATATTTTGTCTCTGACATTTTTATTAGTTTTGTGTTTTAAATAACTAATTCGTAAAATGCGTCTATAGCATTTACATTCGAAGACCAAATCCTCCTTTCCATTTCCACAGTGAGAGTCCAACTGTTACATTCGTATAAGAAAAAAACAATACCAGTGATCTGCAAAAATTGCGATGCTGATTTTGCTCTTCCACGTCGTATTCAGCTGTTGCCATATCAAGTCTTGTCTTGATCTCTTTGGTAATAGCTGCCATCGTTACATATGTGAGAGCCAAGATATTTAAAGGGGTTCTTTATTTTTAGACGACCACAAATAAGGGAAATCTCTGGGTCATGTGACCGTCCAATGTGTTAAGGATGTTAAGACCGGGGGTTTTCTTTGCGCGGTTTCTTCCAAGGCCAAGGTTACTTTCGGTGTATCATCTTGAGTGTGTAGGTGTGAGTCGCAGCGGCCTGAGTTAACTCTTCATCGCCATGAATTTCCTTGAATTGGCAGCATCGGTACATGACAAGAAGAGCAGAGTTGATTTTCTGCAACGTCATGGCATTTTGCGTATTACCAGGCGTTATGGCAACAATCATCCAATGGTGTTATCGCAGACCGAAAGCCACGACCGATGGCAGTCTGGAAAGTCGACATGTCGTCTGAACATTCCGTTGAGGAAAGGACATGGCTGGAAGACTCGCGCCTGACCGATCATTAACACAATCTCCGACCTGTGGCATTCGTACAATGAAGTTGAGAATATTCCTAAATTGATGCAGCTCACCGCCAATCACTCCATTAATTTTGTCGACCCCACCACATGTGCGCATAACCAAATCACTGAGCGGATGTGGAGAGCGGCAAAGGAGAGATATAAGCGCCAGAATGGGACTCATAGACATTTATTAGACTGTTTCATGTGCGAGTTTAGGTGGCCTATACGCACTAAACGTGCGGGTCATAACGTGTTCGCGATCATTCTGGCAGACATTGTTGCATTCTGGGTACCAGAACAATAATTTGTCGTCTCTGCTGCTGCCACCGAAACAGTTGCTGCATTCCGACATCTCTTCATGTGTACTAACTGTAAAATTGTTCTGTCAATTCGTGAACTCAGCAGTATACATTTAAAATGATTGGCCCTTTTTAGGGCCGATTGCACATAGAGTTCACAACAACAACAAAAACTGCAAAACTACATCCGTTTTCCCTGCAAAACAGCATCCTCCTCTGAAACAAAACTGCATCCTCCCCATTGCAAAGAGTCCACAACACACACAAAAACTGCGCAGCATACAAAACTGGAAACTGCACAGCGAATGAAATGACAATGTTACAAACTATACACTTAATCTACCACCCCTAAAATATTGGACTGTCCCATGACCTGTGGATTTCTCTTATTTGTGGTCATCTAAAAATAAAGAACCAATTAAAAGGTTTCAACGAAGAAAGATAAAGACATCAACTTAAGACTCTTGGCAGTAATATCCAGTTTCGTTCTTTTTAGGAAGAAATTTTTTGTTATTTGGAGCCCCACCCTGGCTTTTGCCTCTAAAACCTGCAAGCCGCCCGCCAAGCCCACGCTGCTGACAAAATGTAACAACTAACAGGAAACTCAGGCGAAAATCATCGCCACAACAGAAAGAAATTGAAGCTCAGACAGCAAATAACCCGACCTTGAGAAAACAGGCCATCAGGTGGTTAAAAAAGGACCAAGCTTTTCTTTTTTGTTTCTTTTCGAACGAACGAACAAACGCCTTTGCCAGGGGTCGCAATATAGGCAGGCCATAAATATGGCCAATTGTCTGAACGCGGTTTCTGGGACCTCTCCACGGCGATCCTCATCCGCATGGTGGCACTTTGTGTCATCGGGTGTTTGTCGCTTGTGTGATGTCCTGGTGGGATAATGATCAGTCAGTCAGACTCTTGGCAGTTTTTAGTATAATATAAAGGCATCTATCATCACATGAATCGGTCCACTCCGAGATCTCAAGATGTGGAGAAGCTGAATGTTGAATTAAGAATCGACATCACAGCACTCGTGACACTCACATAAGTGCCCAGTCCCCATCTTCAGCAGCAGGCGAAGAGTTCCAATTCCGATGGTACCAACAACCGTCTGATTGTATATCTGTCTCATCCTTTCCCTGAGTGTTGAACGTCGTAATGATCTATCTGCGCATCCGCACTGTTCCTAAAGGGCCCTCACAATATCTAACTTGTCATACATCAATTCACCACCAAGTTGTGAAGAACCAGCCAGTCTATCTGCCTGCTCATTCCCTAACACACCGGCGCAACATGGAGAAAATATCCAAAGGATGCTAACTACCCGGGACCTCTGAAGTGATGCTTGCTTGGAGAAGCATGATCGCTTAACTACTTGACGATAAACAGTTTATAGAAAAATAATAAGCGAACAATTGGGGTAAAATGTTTCATTAAACGGATTAAAAGCTAAAGAGCAAATACTTGTTTATGAATCTAAAAGTATTAAATTAAAAAAAAATTTTGTTGATAATTTCCACAATATTATACATCGCAATAATGCTTACTTACAATAGTAGGAAACATATTTGTTTCAAATCCTAATAATGTCGTTTGTTTTATAAATGAACCCCAGTGTAGACTTTTTAACCATCCATCTGATGCGAGCAACATGGCCGCTGTTAAGACCGACCCTGACGATGAAATTAAACAAGAAAATGGGCACCCAGCTCAAGTTGGGGTTGAAGAGGATACAGCAGAGCAAATAGACTTGGGGGATGAAGTCAAGAAGAAGAAGAAAAAACACAAAAAGAAGAAAAATAGTAAGTCAGTGTATGTGGTGTATGACTATGTATAATTGTCGCACACACACACACACACGCACTCTAGCATTTACTACTACTAGCAATCATCATCATCATTCTCCATTGAGAATCAAAACATTTCATTTAATTTTTGTTTTTTTTTGAAAGCCAAAATAAAATACAAAATCCACTCATTTTTCTATAGCATTTCAGCTCAAAAGCCCCTATTCTCTTTCTTAAGGACTGAGAGATGGGATGGATACAGATTCAGTCATCAGTCATCTATTAAATAACTGGACTCGAAAATAGAATTAAAAATTCTTAAATAATAATAATAAATCTAGTAAAATTAAAATTCTAAATACAGCTTATTAATAAAGTAAAGAAAGCTTCAAGATTTTGCACTGGGGCTGAACTTAGACTTACATACTGAAAAAAAGCTTTTTACTAATTTGTAAATGCGAAAAGTCCCATGTTGTGAGATTTCCATTGATGACACAGGACCGGAATGGAGCAGTAATGCATTCATATATGGGGCGACCTAGTCTGCAGGATGTTGAAACCTCGACTAACTTCATAAAACAATTATTAAGGAGAGTTGGTCTGATTCTGGTTACCTGCTTGAGCTCCAGAATCCAACCAGTTTAAAAATGACATTGTGTGAGTTGATTGGTTGGTCGTGTTTGCTAATTTTTTAGAGAGAAGAAAGACACATTGTCACAAAAGAAAGGAAGAGAGAAAATAGACATGTTTGTATCTTTGAAAGCTAGCTACCTGTACGTTTACATATGACTGTGGATCTTAAACTGTAAAAGAAGATACATGCATTGGAAATGTGATCTTTTAGAAAAAAAATGTAGCTAACATACAGAGACCATATCAAAAATAACAAAAGTTCACCATATGATTACCCAAGCACATTAGCAACTGTGAACCTCTTTCAGCTACAGTGAAAAGATGGAAAATGCAATAGAAAGGACATGTAACAAGATCTAACAGCGTCTTAAAAACAATACTACACAGTCCCTGTGTGGGTTCCGGGACCCCATTATGGGGAAAAACAGAAATAGGCCCACTGCCTCCATAACAAGCATGTCGTAAGAGTCAGCTGATTGGGGGCTTTCTTCAAAACCCGAGTGCATCTGCATTACAAGTAAGTCAGATTTGTAAAATGAATGTGCATACAACACTCAGGTTCTGGAACAAGACTCAAGTCCAGAGGTGGAGGAACAGCCAGAACTTTGCACTGGAGTTTACAGCTAGTGAAATGCCAAGAAGAAAGAAGAATCCTAGAGCTTAGTAGAGGGGAAAAGGCAGACCAGTCAAGATGTGGATACAGATTTGACTGAATGGACAGGCCCAAGGTATGCAGCCATGAAGTCCATCGCATCTGACCATCAGGAGCTGATCGGACGATCACAGGCAACGGGTGAACCAACAACAGTTTTACAAAATGCTGATAAAATGTTGCCTCTGAAATGTATATCTGGTATCTGTAACGAATTTGTTTTTTTCCTTTAGGTGCGAATACTACAAGTAACGGCATTGATGGAGATGAAGTGAATGGTGTTGAACTCAGTGGAGAGAAGAATGATGCCAGCACTGAGATTATTGTCAGTGGTGTTGCTGGAGAGAAAGAAGGTAGGATTCAACATACAAACGTTTTTGTTATGCAGCTTGTTTCTTTGTCAGGAAAAGATATATCAGCAAGCAACCGTTAAAACCGACAAATTAGCGGTATTTCCTTCAAAGTGGGAGTGCTTCTGCCTTAGAGGCAAGGAACCAACAGTCTACATACAAATAAGGCAGATCTATTTACAAAAATGCAAGTTCCAGAACAAGACTAAAGTCCGTAAGTAGGCGGACAGCCAGAACATTCCACCATAGTTTATAGCCGGTGAGCACAAAGAAGTATAATAGCATAAGATAGTGAGAGGTTGTGTTATTGTAACATAAGATAGAATGCGAGGTTGAGTAATTGTAACATAACATGGAGGGAGATTGTATTATAATTGTAGATATCTATAATTTTGCTCTCGTTATTCAACTGTCAAATTTCACAGATGAAAACGGAGAAGGAGAAATCACCAAGAAGAAAAGGAAAAACAAGAAGAAAAAGGGTAAGTGTCATGTTGTTTATCTGAGTCACTGAAAAAAATAAAAGTAGCAACACTGTAACTTAGTGTAGATAAGGAACGAGGCACAGTTGAGCAGGATTGATGTGAGACTGGTAACCTCTTTCCATCATCATCATAGTCGCATAACATGGTGTGTCGTTGGGTTACCAGTTGCTTTTGACCGCCTGATCAGTTCCCTCCACCATTGTCACTTGGAATGCAGTGAACTTAATGTTGCCTGTTCGTGTAGCTCAAAGTTCTGTATCCAGGTCTGTCTCTTCTCCTCTTGCCCTCTGCTCAGCCATGCATTATTGTTTTGTAAACAAAGTAATAGTAAAGGACCCTTTTCCCAGGCCTTTCAGGCGTATTGGGTACATAGGGCTAGACCTATATTTTATAGACCAAACGGCACGTGGTGGGTGATGTGGTCAGCATCATGCCAGCCGCCTTTACTTCCCAGGACTGTACCTGGTACCCACTCAAGGCTGGGTCCAGCCTCCGTCAGGAACCGAACCCGTTGCTGCTTGTGTGTGTGTATTCTTACTGTTTTTAAGAGTTTCATAATTACCAATAATATGTCGATTAAAAAGTCTGAACTGCAAAATTCGGCCAATAATAAGAGAAATCAATAAATAAAGAGAACAACTGCTTGGACAACCAAGACAAAGGAGACCTTGTTCTGCATTTGTTTAAATTAGCCTTTTCTTCTATTTTTTAAAGTTTTAAATGTTAACCATCTTTGATGTTTTTGTTTCCTGACTTCACATCTGCCCGTTTCTCCCTAAGCGTTGAATGTGTTGAATATCTTCTAGAACTTCTACCCCCCCTTCTCCTTTCCAACTCCTTTTTGGATGAATGTTTTTTCAATTTTTTGATTCTCTATCTGTTTAGTTGCACCTTCCATTTGATCCCAGAGAGCCTTGACCTCCCAGAGAAGCTGCAGCAACCAGTCTATCAGCCTGCTCCTTACCCTGCTCACCCAGATATTGAAGAAAGAAAATCCATGATGTGCTCCTGATTTTAGTCTTATCAAGGGATGCAAGCCACTCTGTGCACAGAATGCCAGTTGCTATTTTGGTTACCAGCTATCATTAGTCTTCCTCATCATCCATTAATACATCCCCAGCAGATGAGTCTACTTCCCTATTATTTTCTACCCTGTGCAATTTTTTCAGCAATAATTAAATCCAGTACAGTATCTTTTCCTCGTCATTTATCTTAAAGTCAGCGGTTTTTTTTTTTCACTAAGCTGAAAATCTGATTCATGTACGGGTGGTGGATCAGTCATCGTTACAATGGTTTGGGCATGTATGCAGAATTGGAGAGGCATGGTAGGCCAAGAACCAGGGAACCAGACCACCAGAGTGATCCAGGATTTGCTATGAAGAAAACATCCAATAATCCCTGACTGACAGAGCACTGGAATGGAACAACTTTCCTGGCAGCTCCTTTCCAAGCAGTCCCTAAGTGTGAGCTAATTTTGCTTAATTGTTAATTCAGCCCTGCCTGTTATCCGTTTTTTTCCGTTAGATGCAGTTACAACCAATGGCGTTGGTGGCAGTGAGGACACCAGGGCTGAACTCATTGGAGAGAAGAGTGATGCTGCCACAGAGATTATTGTCAATGGTGTTGCTGGGGTTAAAGTCAGTGAGAAAGAACAAGATGGTAATATACATTGATGCTCAAGTAATTTTTGGTATATCTTGTTTCATTACATTGCAGTACCTAGAAAAGCTGTTCTGTTTTTTTTGCTTATCTGTAATTGTAATGATAGATTTCTTTTTCTGTCTCCCTCGCTTTATATATATATATACTAGCTGTACCCGGCCACGCGTTGCTGTGGCGTAATTTGAGATAGTCTTTGATCCCCACCCCCACCCCCCCTCCACAACTAAATCCACCTACTACCCTCTCCCTCATCAAAGGTTTTTAGAAAAGAAAGACAATGGAAATCGCTCCTGTCTAATGAAGTTAATGACGCAGTCAATGTCTGCGCCGACGTCGAGATAGTCCTTGATTGCCCCCCCCCCCCCCCTATCAAAGGAAGGTCAGAAAATAGAAATCGTGTTTAATATGGTTATTGTGGCAAATATAGTCTTGTTTGCGGTACCTCGACCTACTCTATGTATTAAGGCGTTGGCTGCACGTAACTCGCCGGCGAATGGCAGAAACCTTGCGTTCTAACTACGGCGGCACATGCGCAATTACTAACGTGGCTATAATTAGAAATCACTAAAGTTATAAATATTAGTTGCGAATATTATGGCATAAATTGTGGTCACCTATCTCTAACAGTGACAGGTTGGATTTCAAACCACGATGGTTCAAAATCCGGTATCAAAACAAACATATCCTGAAAATTTCAGCTAAATCGGTTCAGTAGTTTCCGAGTCTATAGGGGTGAAACAAACACACAAACATTGATTTTTATATATATAGATTAGGGTAATTTTGTCGGGTCAGATAATCAATTTTTTCCAGACTTTGCTTCTTAAATTGAACAGAAAAAGGTTCAACTGACATGAACTGGAAATAGGAGGTTGTGTTTTACTATAGACAGTGTAAGGTTGAGGCTCAACAAATGCAGTGTGAGGTTGTGTTGTAATTCAGACAGTGTGAAGTTGTGTTGTAATATGAGTTTTATCACATGATCGTGTGAAGTTATGTTATTAATGTTTAACATAAAACATCTACTAATTTTAGGTTTTAATATCAGAATCTTGTCCATGTTTTCATTGTCCAACTGTCAACATCCACAGATGAAAATGGTGAAGGAGAAAATGCCAAGAAGAAGAAGAAAAACAAGAAGAAAAAAGGTAATGTTCTTATCAGTCTTTCTTCATCATCAGCCAGCAGGTTGTTTACAAACGTCCCTCTTGTCCCAGTATTATCTTCCCCTTCTCCCTTTTATACCTCATCTCTCGACCATTTATCATTAGCTCCCCCTGCTACTCCACCCTCTGTAGCAGTGTTTTCCAAACTTTTCTTAGTCACAGCGCCTTTTTTTTTCAATTAAAATTTTTCCACGGCACCCTAACCTAAGTAAAAGTATGGCTATTCGTATGTAAGAGATAAAAAAAAAAAAAAACTTATGTGTCTTTGAATATTTTTTGGTGCCCCTGTGAAGAGGTCGCGGCTTCCCCCAGGGTGCCCTGGCGCACAGTTTGGGAATCACTGCTCCATAGTATTAATCTATCATGAGTTCTCTTCCACATGTTTTTTTTTTTTTAAATTTAAGACTCCTTCTATTTCTTTTACCCTTTGGATTCCAAAGCAAGAGCTTTTCTCTTCGGTCACTGGAGCATAAGCCTTCAACAAACACCCATCAGACCATCCTATCTTTAGCCACTTCCTGCAGTTGAAGTCAGTTGATGTGGCATTAAAGATTATAGTCCCCATATTGGTTTGGGGCCTTATTTGTTTATGTGTTTTCACTGCCCTGTAACAAGCCTGTTATACGTTATAAGCCAAAGAAGAAGCGCATGGGCATTTACAGCACGCTCAGCGGGCAGAACAGTCAAAGAAGCCAACGGCGCCTTCTCCATGACAACCAGCAGCATGACGATGGAGGTGATGGCAGTGACACAAGCGCTTGCCTGGCTTGAAACACAAAAATACACCCGCGTGTGTATACTCAGGGATTCAATGAGTATGATCCGGAGGGTTCAGGCAGGTTCAGTGCGAAGACAATGGCTTGAATCATTAGAGAAGTCCACTGTTCGTGGAGTCACCTTTATTTTTGTTCCGGGACACGCAGGCGTCAATGGAAATGAAAGAGCTGACAGGTTGGCTGGATCCGCTATCACTACCGACGGTCAGCCTATGGATCATGCTGATATTATCAATACCCTCAGAGAAATGGGAAGAATAGAGGACTTTGGTGGCAGTGAATCCACATCACTCGCCAGAATGGCAGACTTGGGAATTAAGATCGGCACAGCAAAAATCGAGACGCACACCAGCTACGCCAGAAGACTTGTTAATCAACATAGAACTGGTACTATTAGCCATCAGACGTTGGGGTTCATACTGAGGGGAGGATCTGAGCACCTATGGACATGTCCGGAGTGCAATGAGGATAACCCAACTAACTTACTAACTAACTAACTAAGCCTGTTGTGAAAGCTGACCAATTAGAAGTTTGCTGAAATTGTTTGTGTTGGACCGAAAGGCACACACATTGCAGTTTAGCTGTGAACTACAAAGGAACGTTCCAGCCACCCTTTCAAGGGTAAACGCAGAAGTAGCACTGTAACCTAGCGTGCATGCATTATAAGAGGGGATCGAGGATGGTTTGCAAGCAACTGGCTACCTTATCCCATTGAAAATTTATATTGAAAACAAATTGTAACTATTTTCTTCTTTTCTTTCTCCTACCATTTATGCTTCATTGAAGCATAGGCTGTCAACCAACTCATGCTAAGCCATTTATCTTTAATTGTGTTGGTTCCAGGGCCCCATTCCGGGGAGGGTGGGGTGGTTTAGACCCACTGCTTCACTTACAAGCATGTTGTACAAGTCAACGTATTAGGGTGAATTTACTTCCAAGTCAGAGCACATCTGCCTGAGAGGTGAAGAACCATCGGTCTGCATTCAAATAAGCCAGATCTGTAAATTGGATGTGCATGCAAAACCCAAGTTCTGGAATAAGACCACAGTCCAAAAATGGACGAATGACCAGAACTTTCTGCCAGCTTTTACATCTGCTGAACGTTAAGAAAAGGACATTGATCTTTAGCTATCCCCTCTGTGCTCTCGCCATCAGGGGAAAGGCAAGATGGACATACAGTCAGACTGCTACTGTTACCATCAGAACTGAAACTCTGTGCTGGCTGCTGAAAATTGGGACAGGGTGCTTATGAGAATGTCTCCTGAGTGCTGTGATGTTGGTTTTAACTCAACTGTCCCTCTATATAGTCATCATATGTCTGAAATTCCGTGCTGTTTTTTTTTTTTTTTTTATGGGTTCCTTCAATACTTTTTGCCTTGTGGATTCCAGAGCAAGAACTTCTCTTCATTCCTTTTTTGTGTGTGTTTGTATGTGATTCAAGCACAAGCCCTCAATCAACACATGTCAAGCCATCCTATCTTTAGCCCATTCCCTGCAGCTCAAGTCATTGGAATAAGTAGGAATATTAGATATGAAAGTCCCTATGTAGATTTGGGACCCTTTTTAAGTGTTCTCCCTCCCCCCCCCCCCCCCAGCCCAGAATGTTATGAAAGGTGACAAATTAGCGGTTTGCTGCAATCAGATGTTTTGGCTCGGAAAGGAGCAGATGTCACAGTTTATCTATCAACAAAACACAGCATGCCAGCCGCCCTTTTAAAAGAAAAAGGCATGATAACCTGCTGCTGATTTAGAAATGATTTTTGTGTATTCATCATTATTACATACTTTGCTGACTGACATGAGTGATCAGGATTGTTCACATCTGGCAATTTCTGACAGCATGTAGTAAACACTATATTATGTAATAATGTTTCCTTGTCAGCAGGTGGTGCTGTCGGTGTTAAGCAGCAAACCAATCCACCCACAGTTCCAATAGCAGATCTGTTCAGTGAAGGCAATTTTCCGATAGGAGAGATTTGTGAATATCCTGTTGACAAGGATGAGTATGTTATTTTTCAATTTCTCATCCTGTTTCTCTTTAATATTCTTACGCTCACTCTGTCACCTTCTCTATCTGCCCTTCTCTTTTCCCACTTATTCTCTCTCTCTCACACACACACAGAAGCTGCTTAGCTTTAGGACGTTCACAGCATCTTGGTGCACCCCCAAATGATGTAGCCTATCCATAGAATAAACTGGGAAGCCTGGCTAATGTTTCCAGGCAGGCTGGGCCTTCCCCCAGAAGCACAAGTACTGGAACTGCACACCTTCCTGGTTCCTGCACATGGAGAAGGGAACAAAAGCTCTGAGGCAGTTCCCGGCGAAGACAGGCCATATGTGATGTATTTTATGTGTGGACTATATGTGATCTGCATTTGTGACATTTGTATGAGCTCGTGGTCTTCTGTACATTGCTTCTGTATGATGTGTTAGGTTCTGAGATAAAAACAGTTGATACAATTGTGGTCTTTTATGGGCTGCCTCTTTCTTGTATGTGTTTGAGATAAAAGCAGATAACACAGTTAGGTGTTCTAAACACTGCCTCTGCGATGTGATGTGTTTAACAACATATAGCACTGTCGTGTCTTCTGTACACTGTCTATATGTGATTTGGTATGTTTAAGATTAAACAAGGTAACATAGTCATGGTCTTCTATACACTGCCTCTGTGATGTGTTGTCTTTGAGATAAAAAAAATATTTAACACACTTGTGGTCTTCTGTCTTCTATACAATGCCTCTTTATTATTTAAAAAAAAAAAATTGTTTGCACACCCATCATATGTATAAACTGTTCATTATGTTATGACAGCCGCACAGCCAAAAACCGTATGACAGATGAAGAAAAGAAGATGCTTGATCGCTCACAGAGTTATCAGTATGAGGCGATGAGACAGGCAGCTGAAGCACACAGACAGGCAAGTGTTTAGCGCATTCACCACTTCACATCATGTAGTTTTCAGCTGTACATTTTTCTTTGGAGAACTATTCTAAGCCTTTACTATTATTTACTTACAAAGCCCATCCTCTTCTACCTTGGGGTGTAGATGTTTGCCTGACTTCTCTATTCGCAGTTTTCTTTTTGTTCCATTCCAGTCCTCTGTCAGGTTGTCTTCCCAAGGAACCCTAGGTCGCCCTGGTGAGCTGGTTATTAGGTAGTTTGCCTCCCTTGCCTGCTGTGGTGACCGATTTTCTCCCATTCCGCATGCATATCCAAACCATCATGATTATTCGAAACCATCTTGGATTAAATTAAATATAAAGAATGAGCGTAATGTTGAACATATGGTGCCAGGCCTGTATCCTTAGACCAGTTAGTGTTCAATGCGGAGTGGAAATATTACCGCCCTGAACTTTCTGATAATTTTATTTTATCCATTTGGGAAGCTTGGTCTGCAACCTTGAGGTTCTATATTGAGACATGGAATGTGTCATTTGATGGGAGGCATGCTGTGATAGTTAAAATAGTTGATAGGCACTGAAGTTGTGGGAACCTAGGTCAGTTTAAAAATTATAAACTTTTGGGTGTCTGTTGAAATAGCCACTTGGAACAATGTATCTATGAGTAGAAAATAAAGACATAACATAAAGATTAAAAAAGCTTTTTCTTTACCCGAAATAAAGGTTAGTTGTGTATCCTTTACAGGACGTTGCAGAACCAACCCCAGCAGCCCCTGGCTGTTGTGTGGTTTCTCTTGGCAAATTTATGTCCAGTAGTTTGCCATTGCTTTCTGGACAGTCGGCCCCATGATATCACTGTCGAAACCAATGCAAGGCACATGGCCTGCAGCTGGGATCAAACCCGGCATTAAGAAGCATTCACATCGGCTTAGCACCAAACACCAAAAATAAGTAAGCATAATTTATACCTGACATTTCTGCAAACTACATATATTGCAGTCAGTACCAACGCTGTTAGTACAGGCGACTACCCAAAGATGTCATTTAAGAAGGACAACAAGCAGAGATCTTAGTACTCACTGGCAGCAGGGTTAAGAATTTGCTGGCCACTGCACCCTTATTACTGTTATTTAAGTTGAATAGTTCTGTTTATGAGATGTGAAAAAAAAAATATATATTCTGTGGTATATAATTGTATAGATTGTTTAGCCATAATACATTTTGTCAATCATGTCTTCAGACACGGAAGTACATGATGTCCATTATTAAGCCAGGCATGACGATGATTGACATCTGGTAAGTGGGAAACCAGTAGTGTGATTCAATGTACTTTACTCAATTTATGTACACATCATGTATTTGTAAAATTAGACTGTCTAAAACATTGATAATCATGCTTGTGTGGGTATAAAACATTCAGTAATCACAATGTCTTACTAAAGTTTATGCAGGTGTGCACATACATGTATGTGAGAGAGAGATGGATGTTTATTCAGTCATCCAGGAAAGAAGTGGAAATACTAAACAAGACCATAAATTATGTTTATATCTGAGAAAAGTTGAAACAAGAGTACACAGTATCTTTGCATCCCAGATTAAAAGAGGGTTAAAGTACACCAGTGCAGCTCTTCATCTTGAGTGATTGTGAAATGGTCCTAATAGAGATAAGTTGTTTTAGAAGATCTGCCAGAGATAGTTAGTGGAGGAAAAAGTATGGGCAAGACAGACGATTAGATTCATGCCATGTTACTTGTTATTTGTTTCAACACTCTAGCACATTAGTTCTCAACCTGTAGGTCGAACGACCTTTCACCAGGTTTCGATAGTCTAAGACCATCAGAAAACATAATAATTGAAGCAACAAAAATAATTGTATGTTTGGGGATCGCCAAAACATGTGGAACTTTATTAAAGGGTTGCGGCATTGGTAGGCTCTAACACAATGGTCCAACCCATTTGCACTTCTTCTTCATATGCAACTCCCGTCTCAGTGTATTCATGCTCAACGTACCCAGTTGAAGTTGATTGTCCTATCCTTTTTTCTTTGCCTTGCAACCTGTTTCTGCATGCTTGTCCTTGTTTAATTCCCATTTTCACAAATAAGCCAGATCTGTAAAACAGATGTGCATGCAGCACTCAAGTGCTGGAACAGGACTAAAGTCCAGAATTGGACGAACAACCATAATTTTCTGTCAGAGTTTGCAGCTGGTGAACACAAAGAAGAACAAGTACAAGTTTTTTTTTGTCTCTGACCCTTTTGTCTCAGGGTCTCTGGAATGCATCACATCGTCTGCCACTCCAGATGTGACCAATCTGTCGGCTCTTTCCTTTCCTTTTACTCCCATATCTGGTGGCTCTTTCATTTCCTTTTACTCCCGCATCTGTCGGCTCTTTCATTTCCTTTTACTCCCGCATCTGTCGGCTCTTTCATTTCCTTTTACTCCCACATCTGTCGGCTCTTTCATTTCCTTTTACTCCCGCATCTGTCGGCTCTTTCATTTCCTTTTACTCCAGCATCTATTATTTTATGCAGCCAGCATAATATCTTTGGGCGGGACTTCTGACTGCTGTCAACCCATTGTAATTAGAGTTTGCCAGTTCGGATCTTTATGCTGATTGAGTCTATCAGTATCAGATTCATGCCATATGGATGACAAATTATTTTGAATTTAAATGTTATTAACCGACTCATAACATGGGCACAGCCCTGTTTACCGTAGTGTTTGACATTAAGACAGTATAAGACTCACTACATCAGGGCTATTCAGCTGGTGGCCTAGGGCCAAATCTTGCCCGCAGAGGCCTAGCAACTGGCCTGCCTATCATTGCTAGGGCTCAAGCCTCTGCCCCGTGACAATCCCTATTTTCACAATTTAGGCGATTTAATAAACCTAGCTGGATACCCCTGCTCTACTTTGAGTGATCAAAGATTACTCTGTTTAGATTTGAGACAAATATATACTGTGGGTTCATGTTCGGGGGTAGGGGGTGTGTGCAAGGGCCACTGCATGTTGTGAAAGGCTACTAATTAGGGTTTTTTCTTTGCAGTTATAGTACATCTGCCTTAGAGTCGAAAAACCAGTAGTCTGCATACAGATAAGCCAGATCTGTAAAATATTATGTGCACACAAAACTCATGTTCTGGAACAAGTCCCAAGTTTAGAAGTGGATTAAAAAAACAGGGACTTTTTGCCAGTTTACAGCCGGTGAACACGAAGAAGAAATAATCAGAATTGAGACAAAACTGTCAGCTTTATGTGGGGCTGACACTGGTGGTAAACTCCTGCTTATTTTGATTTTCTTAGCGAAGAGTTGGAAAACACTGCCCGGAAGCTGATCCAAGAGAATGGTCTCGATGCTGGTTTGGCTTTCCCGACTGGGTGTTCTCTCAATCATTGTGCTGCGCACTACACACCTAATGCCGGTGACCCAACAGTGTTGACATATGATGATGTTTGCAAGATAGACTTCGGCACACATATAAATGGTACGTATATATCATCTGGCCATTGCATTGGTTGTCTTAATGTAGTCTTCTTTATAGATAATGATAGCTTTCTTATAGATTTAGGAATATTCTTAAATCTGGGCACTGTAGTGGTCTTCTTACGTGCACCTTTCTGTGGATTGTGAGAAACTTAAAGGGAAAAAAGGTGGTATTTGCTTAGAGCTTTCATGCTGGGGTTGAATAAATATATCAAGAACTACATTTTCTCAGTAACCAACGAAGAGTTTCCATACTTTTGATGCCAGTACCTGATTTGAGAGTTCCTCTGATATCCCCCCCCCCCCCCCCCCCCCCCCCCCCCCCCTCCACTTTGCAGGTAGAAAATAGCCTAGACCTTCTACTAACTTCCAACTGAATCATTATCTCCAGATGTGGATGCTATGTTTTCTTGATCTCAAAGTGGCTTCACGACATCCATTGTGTCATAAAGTAGCGCAAACCCCAGAGGGGAAGCAGCAGCAGCTAACCTGTGGCAACATACAGGTGTCAGTTCGGGACCATTTATTCTTTTTCTTCATCAAAGTTATAAGGGAGATGTAAGGATCTTCTTTAGTACCACAGCATTCTCATCTGATAGCCAGACCTGTTTTGTTATGATGCAGTTGCAGTTTGTTTGAAAAAAAAATAAAAGTTCTTGTCGCCCTAACCAGCTCCAAAATTGAGCGGCGGTTATGTTGGGACTGCGTTTAGTTGATTGGGAATTCCAATAGTTTTTTGTCCATTGTGACGTGTCCATACGCCTGTATTCGTGCCACCTGTCAGCCTTTTGTCTTTTCTTTGTTGTGTATCTTGTTGTCCAGTCCGCCGTCGCTGAGTGCACCAAGGCACCACCAGTGTCACCATCTCAAGACAAACAAGTTTGCCACCTTGCGCCCCAAAACACGGCCCTTTTCAGGTCCCCACATTTAACATCTTTTTTGTGCCTTTATGTTTTCGCATGTGCATGTGCGTTTGGCTTATATTTTTTTTGGGGGGGGGGGGGGCCTTTTTTTGGGGGGCCTTTTTCAATTGTTTAAACAAGTTTTCTTCTTGTAAAAAATGGTAAAGATGTAGTGGACATGAGTATAGGTACAGTCAATTGATAATGAACCGAAAATTTGTTAAGGACTTATAGTGAGGTCGGAAGTTGTAGATAGATGAGTAGTTTTTTAGAGGCTCCTTATTTTGTTATGATGTGCTTACACACACATATATAGTGTTTTGTCGTGTCCATGATTTTTGTTCTGATCTGCGTTCAGTACTCATCTTCTAATTTTTCCTGTTTTAATTCTATCTCTCGTGGCTCTTCTAAAACATCTTATCTCTGTTAGGACCATTTCACAATCACTAGAGGCAAAGACAAGCTGCTTTCCTAAAACATCTCATCTCTGTTAAACCATTTCACAATCAATAGATTTGATTTGATTTGATTCAAGAAGTGCCTCTGAAGTGCCACTCTGCACGGAGCATGCCTGTCTCCACCTTTCTCAGCATGCTCTATGAGTCGGTGGGTACCAAGGAATATTCTAGGAAGTAAAGGCATTATGTTGACATTCACCCATTGAATACCGACTTGAGCAATAAATATTATAGGTTTAGCACCACAAGCCAGATGCACCAGTGGTCTGAAAGGGTCCTTTAAATAGCAAATGAGGGCTTGTGAACTTTAAAATTATCATCAAAATAGCATATTTTTACATGTATAAGACACTGTGTTTCCCCAGTTTTTTTTTTGTCATTTTAAAATTGGGCGTTGTCTTATATTGGGAATCTGTTTTTTAAATATTTATTGCTTAATTTTGGCTTAAACAAATTTAGGGAGTGTCTTATATGCAAGGAATCTCTGTGGGTTCTCGGGCCCCATTGTGAGAAAAACAAGAATATCCCCACTGCCTCCCCAGCAAGCATGTCGTAGGAGTTGACTAATTGGGGCATCCTTCAAAGTCGGATCGCATCTGCCTGGAAGGTAAGGAACCAACAGTCTGCACACAAAAAGGCAGGTCTGTAAAATTGATGTGCACGCAGCACTCATGTTCTGGAAAAAGACTCAAGTCCAGACGAACAGCAAGAACTTTTCACTGGAGTTTACAGCTGGTGAACAGGAGGAAGAAGAATATACAGGAAAGATTCGGTACTCCTACTTGTTGGTTTTGCTACCGGTTCAGTATTGATTGAATGATTGCAAGAATGACTTCGCTCGTTTGCTGGATGTACCCTACTACGATATCACACAAGCGATAAACACCTAGTGACACAAAGTGTCATTATGCCGATGAGGATCACCCGTGGAGAGGTCCCAGAAACCCCTTTCAGATGCTATAGCCACAATTGTGGCCCAGCTATATTCAGGGCCCCTGGCACAAGCCAGGGTGGGGCTTCAAATAACACAAAATTGCATCCCACAAGGGGACGACTAGGACTTCAGAATGCTTTGGTAAAAATATGTGAGATAGCCCTCATCATTTTGTCTGTTATGCCTAGGTCACCTGGTGGATTGTGCCTTCACACTGACCTTCAACCCCAAGTATGACCAGCTGTTGCTGGCTGTGAAGGATGCAACCAACGCTGGGATCCGAGCCTCGGGCATTGATGTCAGGTTGTGTGATGTGGGCCAACAGATCCAGGAGGTCATGGAGTCGTACCAGGTGGAGCTCGATGGCAAGACTTACCAAGGTGAGTTCATTATGTTATAGTGTGTCCTTCTTGTGTGTTGTGTAGAATTTTATGTCATTCTTGTGTATTGTCCGATATTCTCTATCATTTATATATGTTGTCTGTTTTTTTTATAACATTGTTATATATAATTCTTGTATGTTGTCTCTCATTTTGTCATTCTCTGTATTTGTTTTCATAATTTGTCTAATTCTTGTATGTTTCTGATATTTTATGTTTTTGCACAAAGTTTAGTATTGTCTGCCATTCTTATATATTGTTTCTTCTTCTTCTTCATGTTCACCAGCTGTAAACTCCAAGGAAAAGTTTTGATTGTTCGTCCATTTCTGGACTGCACTCCTGTTCCAGAACCTGATTGTTGCGTGTGAATCCGTTTGACAGATCTGACTAATTTATATGCAGACTGTTTGTTCCTTGCCTCACAGGCACTCCGTCTTATGACATGCTTTTGTGTAAGCAGTGGGTCTATTTTTGTTTTTACCATTGTAGGGCCTCAGAACCCACACGAGGAATGCATTGTTTCTTATTAGCGTCATACTGGTGTATTGTCTTTTGTAGACAAAAGTCAGTAGACGCATATTATGGAATATAATGGCTCAATATATGTCTTATCACCACTGCTGTTTATCACTTACATCGGCAGTATATGCAAGGATGCCTAGGCTAGGAACAGAGGTATTGGTAACATCAATAATGACTCTCTTCTGATGGCCAGGCCTCGATAACAGATACAGCCATGAAATGCAACAGCATCTGACATCTGTGAATGAAGAGTATAAAACAAATAAAATGAGAATCCATACGGAAAACACAAAAGTAATATCAATAGAACGAAAGAAGCAGAACCTAAATATAGCAGTACGGTGCAGAAGCTGATGTAGTAAAGCAGCTGAGCATTGGGACAGCTAACCTCCCCTCCCTCCGAGACCATTTCTTTTGTAAAAGGCGATTAATTGATGTGTTGGGCTGAAAGGTATCAATATTGCAGCCTAACTGTGTCCACTGCCTTTTTTCAAGGCGAACACAGACAAGCAGAAAAGTTAACAGTTGGCTGCATAAGATTATGTTGCTTGAAAGTTTGTTCTATAGATATTATGTCTTTTATTTTTATGTGTGTGTTTTTCAGTTAAACCCATCAGAAACCTGAACGGTCACTCAGTTGGTCAGTACAGGATCCATGGTGGGAAGACTGTACCAATTGTCAAAGGTGGAGATGCTACACGGATGGAGGTCAGTCAAAAATAATTCATTAATCAGTATTTTGTTATATTAGAAAATGTGTGCAGTCGCACAAGAAATAACCATAACAAGTGAAACTGTTCACTGGTCTGCCTTTCTGCCAGGTTTGAATTATATTGGTGAGAAATTGTGCGGCGCCGCGCCCCCCCCCCCCCCCCCCCCCCCCCCCACCGCCCCCCCCCCCCCCCCCCCCCCAATGATATTTTCATTGTCTAGAATGTTTGAAAGTCTAACATACCTCATCTGCAGTCTTTAAAATAAGATGTCATAACTTACAGTGTGGGATATAGTTAAAAGCTAACTGTAGTTTTGACTCGTGATGTTATTGGGATGATATGATGACTTAAGAACCAGCATCATAGCACCCAGGATATGATATTCCCATATCTGCTGTGTCCCCATTTTCAGCAGCTAGCACAGCGTTTCAGTTCTGACAGTATCCGTAACAGTCAGAATGTATGAATGTTTCACCTTTTCCCTAAGTCATGAGTGTTGGCCAGACTCCATGGTCACATCTCAGTGCACCATTCTCTTCAGATCATTAGGATTGTATAATGGTAAATAAAATATCATTGTGCTACTATTGTCTTTCTTTTTGTGTGTGTGTGTGTGTATATATAAAAAATAATTTTCTTCTGATATTTATTTTGTGTATATTGCTTTATGAGAGTCGCCTTGGTGTAGCGGCTAGATGCTTATCTATGGATTAGAAGATCACAGGTTTAGGTCCTGACAGAGCCAGAATTTTTCACAAAAAGGCCTTGGCTTCTAGGTCACTCAACCGTAAATGGGTACCAGGTAATGTCCTGAAAAGTGAAGGCAGCTGGCGTGATATTGGCTACATCACTCACTGAGTCCTGATTGGTCTGTAAAAATATAGGTATAGCACTACAGGCCCAGTAAACCTGAAGATGTGGAAAAGGGTCCTTTATATTGCTTCACGAACATAACATGATGTACAGATAAAATGCGAGTAGTGTGCAGACGATGAGTTTTTGAAAGGGCCGAATGTAAGACGGGCCTGCGTTCCATGTTTGTAACCCGCTAAGAATAAAGATTGTCTGATATTTTGCTGTATATTATCCATTCACAATTTGTAAAACTGATGGAGGGTGCACTTTCTGGGAAACAAGGCAGAGGCCAACCTTCACGAAGGTAGATACAGAACATTGAAGATGCATTGGGAATGTAAGCACACAGGGCTGGGGGAATTGTCTAGAGAAAGAGAGACTTTCAGATGTGCCATGGTTTGAGCAAAGTTCTGCAAAGGACATGCTAATTCATTGGTTGACTTGTAAATGTGTCATGTCATGTTAACACCTTTATGCTGTAGAAATTTACACCTGGATTTGTTACTTATTTATCCCCAGGAAGGTGAGGTGTATGCCATTGAGACCTTTGGCAGCACCGGCAGGGGTCACGTACATGATGACATGGAGGTCTCCCACTATATGAAGAACTTTGAGGTTGGCCATGTACCACTAAGGTCAGTACTGACATCAGTAGGGTGACCATAATATCTTCAGCTGAAAATGGGACATCCCGCTAACATTTTGAACTGAAAACGGGACACTTTAAGCAAGTCAGATTAACCCTTCCCCTTTTTTTCTAGGTCAGTGGGGTGAACAGGTTAAATTTACTCGCTCGAAAAGTGGTATTTAAACCTGAACTATTTGCCGCCAAGAATTAAACAAAACAAATTCCCCTTAACTGCAATGAAAACATACGCAACAATGAAGATTCTCATATGTATGTTCTATTCTGGAGCTTATTCCTAGATTCGTATAAAAACGTATATTGGCGCTTTATGGGGAGTACCCCTATGTTGGCAGAGGAACACCTAAAAAAAAACAGAACTGTCCTGGTGTAAACAGGACTTGTGGTCACCCTAGACATCAGCTATCAGTCTACTTAAATGTCCGTGCCATGTGTTATCTGTCATTGGTTTTAACTGTGCACACTTTTCTGTCATCATATAGAACACTGATATGACCAGTGTTCTATGGCTCTGAAACCTGGTTGACAACTGTAAGAGATGAAGCTTTTTTACAACAGTCTTATGATGCATCTTTGGACCCACAAAGATGTGGAAAATTGAGAGTAAATAGCAACAACAACTTTCATATCTGTTTAATTCACAACTAATTACTGGGATAAAGGCTACAAGGAAGACCTTGAAGATGGTGAAGAGATAATGTACAGGTGGACCTGCAAACACTTTGAGTCACTAGTTCAGAGGATCTGAAACTTTTTTTGTTGCAGCAATTTTGTCGGGCTTAAAAAAAATTGTGGCACACCTACCCTTAAAGCGGTTTGAATACCCAGGGAAAGAAGAAAAAAACAGTGCAAATGTAATTTTTAGTTGGCTTTAATGTGAGGATTGAAACTGTTTAGGTGAATTTTGCATTATATCCTTTTTATTTTTGGAAATTCTATCATGGATGACTCTGCCTAAAGAAATAAAGCCTGGTTGCTGATGTATTTTTTAACACAGACTATCCTAGAATAATGACTCATTGAATATAAAAGTACACAAGCCGCGACAGCTGGCGAAAGACCGCTCTTCTTTCAGGTAGACTGTAATGACAGCGACGTTCTACAAAGGAGCTGCTACATGATGATGATCCTAGAAGGTAAAGGCAGCTGATGTGATGTTGGCCACATCACCCACAGAGTGTCGACTGGCCTATAAAATATGAGTAGCAACACATAACTTAAGGTCCCTCTTCCATGCCTTTAGGCGTGAATTGGGAATTTGGGCTAGACCTAAATTTTTAGATCAATCTGCACTTGGTGGGTGATGTGGTCAGCATCACGCCGGCTGCCTTTACTTCCCAGGACTGCACCTGGTACCCACTCACGGCTGGGTTAACCTGGTTACCAAAGTCTTTTTTTTTTTTAAAGACTGTCACGGTGAGAGCCTGAACCTGCAACCTTCCGATCCGCTAGCTGCTACACCACGGTGCCCCTCCCCCATCAGCTGTTACCCAGCCATTATCCAGAAAACTGCTTAAGTTGGTAATTCTATTTTGTAAACCCTGTTCACTCTCTATTTTCTTTAACTTTTGTCTCCACAGAATTGCAAAGTCAAAACAACTACTCAATGTCATCAACCAGAACTTTGGAACTCTAGCTTTCTGTCGTCGCTGGTTGGATCGGCTGGGCCAAACCAAGTATTTGATGGCTCTCAAGAATCTGTGTGACGTCGGCATTATCGACCCCTCACCCCCCGCTGTGCGACCAGAAAGGCTCCTACACTGCCCAGTATGAACACACTATCATCCTGAGGCCAACCTGCAAGGAGGTCGTTACAAGGGGAGATGACTACTAATGTGTATATACTCGGGCATAGTTGTTGGTCACATCGCTTTCTTTGTTGCTGACTGCCTGGAAGTGGATTTGTAGGTCAGCAGCAGCTAGACCAAGATCACAAGTCCTCTGTTTTCTTGATTTTTCTTCTGTAAGTTTTGCTTTCAAGGGATGGGCAACAGCAGCAGTTTGTTTTGTTCAGTACTTCTCTCCTTTGAGGAGATCTCCACACAGTTGATTCTTTCATGAGCTGTTGTCTGGGCTACCTACTCCTGTCCAGTTTGTCTTCTGTAACAGTACAGTTCACGAAATTGTAGTTCCTTGTTCTAGAGACTATTATGTTAAGTTATTACTGTAACAGGAAACATGGTAGGCGGCACCAGTTGTGTTTTGTTTATTAGTTCTGGAACCTGAACAGAACAACACAGGTGACTACAGTGAATCTGTTGTGGTATTAAAACTAGCAAACATATTATTTACATTTTCAAATTTGAGATTAGGTATATGTTCACAGATTAAGAATCATTTGCAAGCTTAAATCTCTTGGGAGTGGTCTTACAAAATTTTGTTGAAGCTGAAAATTTAAATAAAGGAAACCACTAGCAGGGAAAAATAAAGGCAGGCACTTTGACTGAAATACAGCAGTTAAACCTGCCAGTCACCGCCACACCTCAATCTTTACATTAGCTTGTACACATTGGCAATATATTCACATGTTTCTATACAATTGATCAAATCAGGGTCAAGTAACACCCTTGTCATGCTCCTCTTTACGGTAATAGAACCTTTCTACCTGATAGGACTCTCTGTTCAACAATACAAACACAGTAGCAACATATACATATAGTATCTGCAACATCTGGGAATCCTGATTGTTAGCAATAAGTGGGAGTAAGCAGCCATGTGTATTGTATGGTCATGTATTGGTTGATGTATGTGCTGCCTGTGGGAGAGTCAGCTGCACCGAGCACACACAAGCTGCTTCAGCTGAAAGATTTGTAAATAAACTGGTACAAATGAAGACTCTTGAAATCTGAGTTGATTGTTTTTTTTATGTCAGGTTTTGGTTAAATATGGTTGTCAGGAGACTGTTAATCTGTCTGAAGTGTGCGTGGGGGGGGGGGGGGGTGCTGTTGAGCTCTCGTAAAACTATGGGGGATCCTGGCTCCCAGGTCAGAGGTCATTGTTAGGAATGATATCTTAGTCCATAATTATTGGTCATGTTGACAACAATCAGATAATTTGCATTCCCAGGATAGCAAGGATAACTCGGAAATGCATTTATATAGAGTTCCCTTCTATGATCTAACCTTTATTCGCTGACTTTTACCAGTAAATCACACAAAAATCTAGTGTAGATAAAACAGTCAACAGTCGTTAAGCTCTAACTATGGCAGGGACGCAGTGTTGGGCCAAACTCGTTGCTATGTCCGGTCAGTGGAGAAAATTTGTCTTGTCTCACATCAGATTAAAGCTTCTTGTTCCAGGGTAAATGCATCATTTTCTCATCTGTTCCCTGTCATATCGGGACCTCACAGGGACTCTTAATATCTCTTCCTGCCCGGCCTCTGGGTTAAACAGCTTTTTGTGCCTAACTGGCGCTGCTCTTTACTCAGACTGCACTGCAGCCCCATGAACCAACCATGCTGGTCTTGAAACCTGATCAACGTCTACGGTCTCACCATTGTCTCCTGTCAAGCTAGACATGTTTATGGAAGTATTGGCTGTATCTACCTTGTCACCATCTTAACCTTGAGTCTTGCCCCGAATCACTCCAAAATAGGTGGTGGTAGCGCTTACTGTGGGAAGAACTTGTTTAGAATGCTCCTACCACTCCACCTCAGGCCATGACTCTGCGGCCAGTTCCCACACCCTGTAAAAACTGTATTTGCTACAGAAAATTCACAGAATCACCAGACCTGTACTGAATGTTGAATTACCAATCGACATCACAGCGCTCGGGATACTCCCATAAGTGCTCCGTCCCCATCTTCAGCAGCAAGCGAAGAATCCCAGACATGTACTGAAATGGGATATGACTGATTTAGAAAAAGAGAGCGTCCAAGAGAAAGTTAAAGATGGAAGGGTCATGTTGTGCTCGCTCCTCCGTGGAGTCTCTACTTCATATACAGCAGCGATGGAGACCAAGATGAGAATGAAACTTTCACTATCTCGGGTGAAGTCAGGCAATAAAATCAAATAAGAGATGTTGAATTAAGAATCAACATCACAGCACTCGGGACATCCCTAAAAGCGCTCCATCTCTATCAGCAGGCAAATAATTCCAATGACACCAGTAGCTGTCTGATTGTATATCCATCTCGTTTTTCCCCTGAGTGTTGAGCACCAGTCTAATTCCCTTAACTCCTCAGTGTCATTCTCCTCAAACCGTAATGATCTATCTGTGCCTCCGCACAGTTCAATCGCTCCCAAAGAGACCTCACAACATCCAGCTTGTCATACATCAGTTCACCACCAAGCAGTGCAGAATTGGCCAGTCTATCTGCCTGCTCATTTCCCAACACATCGGCATAACCTGGAGAAAATATCCGAAGGGTGCGAACTACCCGGCACCTCTAAAGTGATGCTTGCTACTCTGCACTGAGCATGCCTGTCTCCAATTTTCTCAACATGCTCTGTGAGTCAGTTACAATCACGGCATGTTACACCTGATTCTCAAGCCAGCGGAAGGCAGCAGTGACTGCCTCCACCTCCATTCTCAAACTAGACGTTGTGATATATATGCCAAAAGATAAAAAAAAAATTATCAAAAGAGAAAGCAAACTGAGTATCATTTTCGATAAAAGCCGGACCTTCAGGGATCATGTAGAGGCAGTTGCTGGGAAATGTCAAAAAGGACTCAATGCTCTCAAGATTATGGCAGCAATGGACATGGAACAAAGAATGCTGTTCACAATATTCCAGCATGTGATCCCGTCGGTGGTGGATTATGTGCTTGGAATGCTTACCATATCAAAGGGTCAGCTGATTAAACTTGAACGCATACAGAATGAAGACATGCGGGTAATTCTGGGATGTACAAGAGATACCCCGGTAGTATGTATGAGATATATACGCTTGCACTGCCTACTATTGCTGATAGGCTCAAAGTTCTGCAAGCAAAGTCATATCTTAGAGTAGCTGCAGACAAGAAACACTTGCTGCATGAAGCTCTGGGTAGAGCTAAGGGTCGCAGACTGAAAAGAGGAAGGTCTTGGATGGTGCAAGCTGAAGACACGATTGGACATGTGTGCGGGCTCGATAAATTTAAGCGAGAAGAGTGGTTCAAAGTGTCCGAGCAAGTTTCAGACTTGTATGGGGTTTTTGATCACTTTCAAGTCGTGAGTGGAGAGACTGGCCAGCTCAGAAGTTTAACAAATGACTCATGACAATTTCCGTCTATAGAAATGGCTGTGTTGAGGGTAGTAAGAGATAAAATCAGAAATGAGGTCATAACTGAAAACATCACTACAGAACCAATTCTAAGTTACATACAAAGACAGCAAATTAAATGGTTTGCCTGCTTGGAGAGTATACGTTGTGACGCCTTACCATACAAGACATACACCAAAAGAGGAGCGGGACGTAAAGCACAAGGTAGACCAAGAATAAAATGGAAAGCTAACATGAGAGAAATTGTAACAGTACGAGGTGTCTATGGTCGAGGCGGCCAGAAGAGAAAGAAACGGAACCCTACTTCACCCTTGACACATAAGTCCGGAAGAGGTAGTGAGGAAGAAATCCAATGTGTTTTCTTCTTCTTACGGCCCTATGCTGATGGCAGTCACGGAGAACGCACCGCTGGCCTCTCGAACTGCTCTACCTGAAGAGCGAGCTGTGAATGGCCATGCACTCTTATGTACTCGTATAACGGACCCGTCTGTGAAGATCACCACATCTATCTCATATGACTTGTCACTGATAAGCGCGCATACCTCGCAGTGAAAAAGTGATACCTAAACGAAAGTAGCGGCACTGTGGGCGTCTCCCTGGCGAAATGGTCAAGCCGTTTGCCTGGCGCTCTGAAAGTCGTGGGTTCGTTTCATAGCTGCGTCATCAAGGTCACGAGTGCAATTGTTACGGAAATCCCTGAGGATCGTCGCCAGAGCTACGGAGTTCGTGCTCTGTGCGATGCTCTCGACAGAGAGATCGTGCTATATGGGATAAAATCCGGTGCATTAAGTCGATCCTCTCGACTTTAACCTTTATCTAGCGGCCCTAAGTATCGCTAGACAAAATCTGATAATGATAATGCAATGAGTTTTGATCCAAGTTTTTAATTTCATGCTGAACATGCGCAGTTAGCGGTTTACGAAGACGACTTCCTGCAGGCTGATCACGGCGTTCCTAAATCGAATTTTGAGGGAAATCTTCACTTAAACCGAAATTATGGCTGTAAGTTTCTTTGTTTTTAAGTAATACGTATAACTGTGTGTAAGATTACATTATACAATATCCAGAGTAACATAACTATGTACATTATAGCATTTAAGCTGATCATGTAAACTGAATGTTGCTTGCCGTCGTTAGTGATAATGAAAATGAATGAATCTTTCAATTCAAAATGTCATTATCATTACGTTACTCGTTCCTTGTAGCGTGTCTTGTCTACATTGACATTTCCGTAGATTATAATTAAACGGTTCACTTAGAGACTGTTCTATTACCGAAATTATCATCTGCCTCTTGTCAAATATTAACTTGTGTAGCGTCTGAAGCCCATGCGGACTGCCGCATCCGCAAGTTCTACCTTCTACTTCCCGCCATGGCCATGCTGTATATTTTATATTTACAACTGGGTAGAATTGCCTATATTTACAACGACACAGCGATCAGTTGGATCATAGATTCCAGAAAATCCTGTACGGATTTTTCAAAAGATAATAAATTAAAATGTAATTATCTGGCTTTGACAAACAAGATCAGAAAGTGAAAATCTTTTTAACTGCATAATAATTGGTTACTATTTGATAGTATTTCTATCAGTTGTGAATTAAACAATGGCCCATCCAATTAAATTTTTTTGAATATAAGGATAATAGAAGTTTAGTGGGCTTCTCTCCTGGATAACAGGCATAAATTATGGTTGTTAAAAACATGCCATTGAGTGACAACAAAAACAGTAAATTCATTGTATAATATATAAATCAGTGGGCTCTCCTTTAAATAACGATCGCTAGCTGGAAAGCCGACGGTCGCTTAGTGGGAGTTCAATCCCTTGGTTGCAGTGCAAATACAGACCATAAAGCGGGAACGAAACAAATGACATACTTACCTATCATCATACGGTTGCGTAGGGTTAGGGGTAGGGTTAGGTACCTTTCGGCTCTCCTTTAAATAACAATCGCTAGCTGGAAAGCTGACGGTCGCTTAGTGGGAGTTCACTCCCTTGGTTAGATGTGAAAATTGTGACGCAGGAGTTCCACATAATGGCCGACAATCTGATGCTTGTGGGAGTGGCGCCACTTGAGTTCTCCTAAATATGATGGCAATAGCGCGTGGCTGGTGCCCATTTGATGGCGAATTGTCCGTGTGAGTAGCATCCACAGTCCTTCAATTGTTTGGGTGTGTTTGTCACTGTGCGTGATTAGATGGAACTCCTGCGTCAAAATTGTCTCATCCAACCCTACCCCTAACCACGCAAATTTATCGGCCATTAAGGCATACAGATCTGCAGGAGTCACATCCGTGGCAACTAACAGCACCATTATATAAGGATATATTTACTAAAAAAATCAAAACCCCAGATGTCCCCGAGGAGTCAAATAAACACCCAGATCTGGGGGACACACCCAAGCATTGGCAGCCCTGATGTCGACCTTACTGTCTGTTTTGATTCGTGACTTGTCCGCTCCATATTTGCAATGCAGCCAAGGGAGTGAACTCCCACTAAGCGACCGTCAGCTTTCCAGCTAGCGATCGTTATTTAAAGGAGAGCCAATCAGTGTTTATTGACAATTGACTTTTTTCGCCCTGTCAGGCTCTACCTATGAACCCTAAACCATTCTTGAATGGTCTGACTGGCAAACCTGTCTTGGTCAAGCTCAAGTGGGGTATGGAATACAAAGGTTACCTGGTCTCTGTTGATGGCTACATGAATCTCCAGGTAACATGTTGCGTTTTTGCTTGACTGTTTTATAATTGTTGTTACAGGTTTATAAAATTTATCGCAATGAATTTGTGAGGGAGGTTGAAATAAAAAAGCAACCCCAAAAAAATTCAGAATTCCAAGCTCATGAAGTTCATTGTTGATATCAACTGCATTCATTCATCTCTCTGCTTCTTTGCGGTCACCAGCTGATTCCAGAGGAAACTTCTGGTTGTTGCTGGTTTCTTGCCTCTCATGCAGATGCACTTTACCTTCGAAGAAAACACCTAACACTCTTACAGCATGCTTATGGGGGGGGGGGGCATTGGGGCTGCTGCACCCCTTTCCTATCTTTTCTGGAATTTTTGGGTCTGCATGTATATTATCTCTCTACTGCCCTCTTGGTAAAAGAAAATATATTTTAAAAAGATCAAACAGTAAATAAATAGTCTTTCATATATGCACATTGCTGCTGTATTTCTGTGTTGCTTCCCTTTAGTAGTGCTCCTGTGAACGCAGATGTTTTGATTACTTAATTATAATTTATTGGAGAGGTTAAGTGGTAGGAATATCAGCTGTCCTTGTACACTAACCGTTGGGGTGTATGTGGTCTAGTTGAGGTTTTATATTTATCCCAGTTGGTCACCCCCATAATTGCTCCTTTCCAGAAAAAATCACATTTGATAATTGGTGAATGAATGAACATTCTTGTCCCAGGTAAATCCAGAAACACATACAGCACTTGCTAGAGGTGGCAGCACCAAATCCGCTACAAGAATTGCATTTTATCATTGATTACAATGAAAAGTGCTCAAAATTCCTTGGACAGCGAAATGATAATTCCAGGTGTTGCAAGGGCTATAAGGCATCCTATCACAAACATGAGGGAGCTCAATTATTTAACTGTTCTCGATGTGTAGGTTACAGAGTCCCATTCGGGAGGGGGTGAGAATAGACTGCCCCCTAACAGGCATGTCTTACAGTGCGACTAATTAGAAAAGTTTCTGCTGGAGTACATCTGCCAAGGACCAACAGTCTGCATTAATTTTAAAGAAATCGGACAAGATCTGGAACAAAACCAAAGTGTTACCGACGATTAACACCATTTGAATGCTAGAAGAAGAAGCAGTCATGTTGCTGGTCTGTTGACACTAGATGAATATTTTTGTTGCCTGTTCTGATATTTTAATAGCATGTAGCTTGAAATAAGGCCGCTGGTATTGATGGAATTACAGCTGAGGCAATATAGGCCTGTGGGGAAACTGGAGTCACCTGGCTACTCCATATATTTAGGAGAGCCTGGAATGAAAAAAACTGAACCAATAGACTGGCAAAGAGCCATTATAATACCAAAGGCATCTCCCTTTTAAGACACTAGGTAAAATGTTTGCCAAGATTCTGGAACAACGAATTAGATCTGTTGTAGAACCGATTCTGAGCTTAGCACAGGTCGGATTAGGGAAAGGAAGAGGATGTACTGACACTATTTTAACTCTTAAGACAAATTAGCAAAAACACTATAGAACACAGACACCACATGAACATCCTTTGCCTAGATCAAGAAAATGCTTTTGACAGTGAACAGAGATTTACTATGGGATGTCCTTGAAAACTATGGTATAAATGGAACAGTACTAGATTGTGTAATAGCCATTTAAAGAGAAAATAATGCTGCTGCCAGTAAAAGGGCTGGTCCCTGGTGACATCAGTAGTAAGGCAAGGGTGTGACAATATAATTAAATTAGACATAACACCACCAGATGTCAATAAACAGGAGGGCTTGAATGAGCAACAAACCATTGACATAAAGATCAAAGTCTGAAACAAGTGCAAGAATTTAAAACTTGGGAAGCATCTTTACACACACTGGTAAAATAGAGAGATAAAAATGAGAAGCCAACAATGAAATGTACTAAATTGCTTCAATTTTAAAACACCCTGCTATCCCAATAAAAACAAAAAGACAAATTATAAATAAAATATTTATACAGACTTTAGGTTACCAATGTCAGACTTGGACGTTGACTATAAAAAAAAACACGAAAGAAAACTAACCACCTGTAAGATTAATTGTTTGAGAATGGCTGTAAATAAAACCAGAAGAGATCGAGTAAGAAATGAAGTGATCACAAGAACTTTTAGAACAACACCCACCATCAAATTTATTGATAAACAAAGAATTAAATAGTTTGACCATCTAATAAGAATGAAATCAGAGATGCCAGCAGCAAGAGCGTACCACCAGAAAATCAAAACATCAAAAGGCAGGGGGAAAAAAACAGAAGAAGATGGATTGGAGGGAACACTGACACTTTGAGACTGCATAACATCACTGCATTAAGCGTGCCCTGGCTCGGCTGCCGATCGTCTGATGAACTGCGACATGTAGTGGTGTTAGCAGATATTGGCAAAAGAAGAAGATGTAGCTTGACTATATGGATATGTATTTAGTCTTATGTTTTCTACCTGTTTGCTATAACACGATTTCTGTACTGTTGTAATTTTACAGCTGGCTAACACAGAAGAGATCATTGAGAATGTGCTCGCAGGAAATCTGGGAGAAGTACTCATCAGGTACACAGTTTATTTTTTGCATTTGCTAATTTTTTTTAAGTTACAATTTTAAATATATTTTAAATACACTTTAGCGGATGCTGTTCCTAAAACTAACGACTCCATGATGTCTAGAGACTGATGGTTGCCTATATATTTATGTGCTTACCTTATGAGGACTAAAAGAAAAAACATGTCTCCACATATGTTCGAGGAAAATAATGAACATTAAATGGGATGATTTCAGGAGGGATGGAGTTTAAGAGAAATATCTGGGCAAGCACTAGAGTTAACAGTTACAAGATGGAGAAGGTGACATTATTTTAGATACATCCTGAGAAGAAACGAGTAGAGAGTGGTTGAACAAGCACCAAAAATGAAAGTAAAGGTGTTAAGGAGGTGAGGATATCGAAACCCTTAAACAAAACATTGATGGGAAAAGACTGAAGGTCCTAGACTCTATTCCATCCATGATATTGAATTGATTGCACAGAATAGAGTGGGATAGAGTAGAGGACTGTTTATATGTTTATGTTTGCTCAACGGATCAACATCGTGGCACACGGGTGTAACCCATAAGTGCCCCGTTCTACTTCTAACTCAAGACTGAGTCTGAGGAATCTCAGCGCAGTGCACCGATGAGGATCCTGAAATACTTTGTAGGTAGATTTTTAACACCATATTTTTGTTTTGGGAAGTGCCGTTAGGCTGCACTTTTTTTTTGATTTCCAGCTGTCTAGGTTTTTTTTTTTACATGCGCAACAATGCACACAGGCGTCTGATCTTTCTACCCAGAGACCAGGGGAAATTGCTAGAAGTCCACATGGAAAATCCCAGCCTTCACCGGGGCTTGAACCCAGACCTCCAGCACTCGAGGCGGACACAATTGGCCACAGTTTATTAGGTGCAAACTATTTAGTTAACTTTTGCACTTTTCTAAATCGCTCGTTGAGCCCTGTTGCACTAGTAATTCAATTGTGAAACTAGTTCACTAAACCGTGTGCTCGTGTCCTGCATAAGTGCTAGTAACACCTGCGGAATTGTTTTTTCTGCCAATTTGTATGAACCCTTCTTGAGCATATTTTCTTCTCTACCATTTGTTCTGTGCATTTTTACCCAACACATCCCATAATTAATTGCCTGTTATGAAATTGTGCTTAATCTTCTCTCCTTTCTCTCCCTTAACCACCCTCTCCTCTTACGAAATCCTGGAGCCCCTATAGTGAGTAATATTTCAAAGGGTTGTATTTATAAATAAAAAATAATCAGTAAATGCTCGTGTGCCCACCCTGCACTTTCTTATCCTTTCTATATCTGTTACCACATTCTACATCTCCCCCCATGTTCTTCCCATATTAATCACTCTCCACTTTGTATTTTCTTGATGTCAAGTTCTTACGTGTTTAGACTATCTTAAAAGCATAGCTTCTGATCAATGTGTTTTTATGCTGTTTGTTGTTGCAACAAGTCATGTGAAGTTGATGATATTTTATGTTCTTCTCACAGGTGCAACAATGTTTTGTACATCCGTGGTGTTGAGGAAGAAGATGAGGAGGGTGAGACTAGAGAATAATCATCACCACACAAGATTTGCACTTTCATCATCATCAATCGGTCTTCATCAGCCAGTTGCATTGGGACATAACTTTTTTGTTTTCTTTGTTGGTCGCTTGGTCATGAGTGAGAAGGTTATACATTTGTGAGGCACTGATGTGTGAACTATTGTGCTTTGTTGACCAGTGTTTATGTTAATAAATATTCTTTTTGGAGAACATTCCTTGAATTATTTTTTTGTTTTTAACTGTGTTTTATGTGGGAGTTGTGGTGTAGCAGCTAGACACTTGCCAGCAGATCAGAAGGTCGTATGTTCGGTTTTTGACTCGGACTGGACTTTATTTTAAAAAAAACTAACCTTGGCTCCCAGGTCTACCCAGCCTTGAGTGGGTATAAGTACAGTCCTGGGAAGTAAAGGTGGCTGGCGTGATGTTGACCGCATAACCCACTAAGTGCCATTGGTCTATTACAAAAAGGTCTAGCCCCATATCCCCAATACAACTAACAGGCATGGACAAGTGTCCTTTTACTATTCTTTTGTTGTTGTTCACTTCTTGTGTAGATTTGCATATTGGTATGTGTTTGATGTAATCCTTACTTTGTCTTCAGCTATTCACATGTAATGTAATCATGTCTTTAGCTGCCCCAATGAATGTAATCCAATCTTCGCATCTGTCCCCATGTAATGTAATCCAATCTTCGCATCTGTCCCCATGTAATGTAATCCAATCTTCGCATCTGTCCCCATGTAATGTAATCCAATCATCGCATCTGTCCCCATGTAATGTAACCATGTCTTCATCTATCCCCATGTAATGTAATCATGTCTTCATCTGTCCCCATGTAATGTAATCATGTCTTTAGCGGTCCTAATGTATGTAATCCAGTCTTCATCTGTCCCTATATTATGGTATCCAGTCTTCGGCTCCTTACCTGCAGACAAGACTACATGATTTGATAAAATTGTTGTAGAAAATGAAGGAATGAACCTCAGTATATCAAAAATATCTATGGAGACAAGTACATTAGTGTATATAGGCCGAGGGAACACAAATTGACCTCCTGCGAGTCTGATGTAAAATGACTTGAGCTCACAAAATACCATAACAAAAACAAAGTACAGAAGGAAAGTATCAAAATCTCCTGTTTGTTTTAGTATCCAGAAGCCATGAGTTGTTAACCCTTAGGCTCGGTATTATAGATATTGCAACCTTTCGGCCTTGATTCCATTGTGAATACCGTAAATCTGGGATAAATGTGGCTTTTCTGCCCACCCCCGGGAGTGAACCCGGACCACAAGGAGTTCGTCACCCGCTTACCGCGCAATCCGGTTTAGCCAACCACGCTAGAGAGACGGGCTATCAAAATCTCCTAAAAATAGTAACCTGAACAGTGGTAACGAGAAAATGATGTCTCTAAAATAGAAGGGTTTCAGTGGGTTTATATTCTTACATTGTCCCACGCAATTATTGTTTGTGGGGAAATCTGGGTATATTTATACTGGATTTTGTTCTGTATGTGCCACGACCAGGTTGGTAATTATAAATTTGGCCCACAGACCGAGGAAAAATAGGTTACGCACCTATGATCTAGGCGCATGGGTGATATCGCGTTGCTCTTGCTTGAATTTTTAATTTTAGAAAAGATCACTTTGATACTTGTAAATATAATGGTATTAGTCATAAAGATCAGTTTTATCATCTTCGATATTATCACAAAACGTTACGATGTAAACGGATGACCCTGCAACCTCACTACTTCCATATGCAGACCTAATAGATGCTATACAGGAGACAACACGCGCCTAATTAAGACCTATTATATGTTGGTTGACAAACCCAACAAAGCCCCGATTCGGCTGGGGGGGGGGGGGGGCATAAGCAGCGAAATCAAAATAAAATTTGAACATTTAAGAGGTGGCATTTCCAAGACTTGCTTTGTACTGAGAAAATTTACTGTACGGCCACGACCGCCTCCTGCTGGCGTCACCGGGTCGGGCTAACGATGCGTTCACTATTTTCGGCAGCGGCGAGGGAAGGAAAGTTAAATTTTAACTTTTAAGTATCAACATGCCTTCTTTAATTTCACAATTTTTGCCCGATTTGTGTTGATTATTGCCACTGGCATACGCCCACGGCTCCCATGGTGCCTCGGCACACAGTTTTAGAACCGCTGCGATGACGCATCATTAGCCCAACCTGGTGACGTCAGCTGGAGCCGGTCGTGGTACGGCCCTGCTCGCAGTCTTGCTCTTTTCCCCGCAAGTCCGCAAACTATCATTGCTAGCATTACGCCTTCCCGCGATAGTTTTATTAGTGTCCGGTTGCTGTCCACAAAAGCACTGGTCATTTATTGCCTGTCCCCTGGGATTCTTTAATGTAATGACGGCTTCATTGATTAAACCAAGCGGTCCATTTAGAAGATCTGAAATTACTGGCCAGAGATGCCTTGAGTAAACATTCCCTGGACACAGGGGAGCAAACTCTAAAGGAATTCAAACGTGCCTGACTAGAACCAGCTCTAATCTCTCTGTCTTCTTCTCCTTCTTTCTAGAATTCAATGGCTGTAAACCCCTGCAGGGGAATTTCTGGCTGTTTAAAGGGATCTTAGCCCCTGACAGTTTTAATTTTAGAGGATAGAAAAGGGGTCTAATCGCGCCACCCAATTTGTGTGTGTGTGCTCAGAAAGACCAGGTTGAAATAAAAAGGGTGCGGGTTTGTTTGTTATTCAATCCCACCAGGACCGTACGTCGAGCCACCGACACTAAGTGCCACCATTCGGATAAAGATACTCTGGGCGGAAATCCCCAAACCCTGTTCAACTGTTAGTTTTTTTAGGGCCCTGACTACAGCCGGGGTGCGGCTTTAAATTAACGAAAAATTGCGCCCCACATTGATAAGTATTCCAATGGCAAGGGCGCAGGGGATTAGTCCTTATTTTACGAAGGATTGCTGAGTTCCACATGGGGGGGGGGGGGGTTCTAATATTATGTTTGTGGCGGCGTGGCTGTTTTCACGTTTATTTGCAGCCTACTGTCCCGTGTACTGCTGATTTCCGATAGAGGTGATCGGCCATGTCATAATACCACCAGTGGCGAGGTGTGATCAGGTCGCAGTTGTAAGCGTTACCAGGTAATAATTTACCCAGTGATGGCGGATCATGTGATATTTTCAAACTCGTTGCTTGGCTGTTGGGAATATGCGTGCGCAGTTGGCATTCTAATACTGTGCTAGTAACTGCTAGGCTTCGCACGTTACAGTTTCTGCATAAGTATCTGCATCAGCAGCGAGCGTTCTTTTGGCTATGTCCGAGGCATAAACCGAGTTTAACAAGTTAGTTGCGTATCCTTTACAGGACATTGCAGAACCAACCCCAGCATTTGTTGGCTGTTGTGCTTTTTCTAGGCGAATTCATGTCCAGTAGTTTGCCATTGCTTTTTGGGTGATCGGTTTCTCGATACCACTGTCGAAACCAGCGCAAGGCCCGCAGCTGGGATCGAACCCGGCATTACGAAGCGCGTTTGCAACGCCTAAGTCACAGACGCCGATAATTAACCGAATGGAGTATGTGTAATCAAATTAACAATAATACTTACTTTTAAAATAATTTTTCTTTGGCAATAGAAAGTGTAAGCGATGATTACAACCGTTAACATGTACGTCTCGCCCCTGGATGCCACACCGTTTCACGTGATCTCTGTTGGTTTTCTTCTGCCCGTTTTCCTACTCTGTCTTTCTGGTTTGTATAATGTGCACAAAAGAATTTAAATTGTCTCACTCCGATGAACAGTCAGCAAAACACTTGCTGCAAGAGTGTCCAACACATGTAGAGCAGAGAAAACTATCGCGGTCAACACCAAATCCATTTGCAGATAGAGTGCGTCAAGGTGTCTTCTGCTTCTTCTTCCGCAATCCAAATCTTTGTGGTTCATTGCTATAGTATCACACCCCCTCTATTCATCCGTATGACTGGCCTGCTTCCTGTCGGTGACTGAAAATGTTTGTAGGTGAGCTAACTGCTGCATTAAAAGCCGCCGTGATGTAGCAGCTAGACGCTCGCCTACAGATCTAAGGGCTCCCAGGTCGACCCAGGTAAATTCCTTGGAAGTAAAGGCGGTAGGTGTGATTGACCACCGAGTACCATTTGGTCTATAATATAGGTCTAGCCCTATGTGCCCAATACACCTGAAGGCGCGAATAAGGGTCGTGTACCTTTTTTCAAAATTAACTTTAACTGCTCTTTTCTGTAAATACATGTATATCCATGTTGACGTATGAAGGCATCATCATCATGCAGCTGGTCCCTTGCAGAACGTTGCTCTCATCACAGTTTGCCTGAAAGAAACTCATTCTCTCGCCAGTTCTCCTGCCTCATGTACTGTCATACTCAGGGAGTCACTTTTATCTTGTGCCCATATTCGTGTCGGTCGGCCCCTGCTCCTCCTTCCTGATATGACCAAAACATTTCAGCTTCCAAGACAGGATGCTGTTTATTAGCCAATCTTCCTTGATGTTCAGATCTTTCAAGATGTTAGTATTTCTCCTCTTCTTTGTCCAATATATTCTGAGAATCTTTCTATAGCGTATAAAGGCATACGCAGTTTTATTCGTGGGTTAACGTCTTTCAAAATATAATTTTTTTTTTTTTTTTTTAAATATGGCCTAAATGCTGTCGTAATTCTTCTATAAAAAGTCACCAAAGCTTCGTCAACATAATTTTCAAAAAATTTTTTTTTAACAAAGCAAAATGAAACTCGATCTCCATCGCGTCAGTTCCATTATCAGAGAAACTGTCAGCCAATTTGATGTAATGCACGCTTCCGGTGGCGCATGCTCAGTTGTGTATCTGATTACATGCCAAAACTCATTTTCTAGAGATAATTGGCATGGCGGAGTCTGTGTTTTTCTTGGAATCTGCCATAACCACTTTAGTATGTTTGCGTTTATTACCAGCATCATGTTTTCATCTAAACATGCCCACAAGTGTATCTCTATACTGTTACATTGTTGCCTAATATCA